AAGGCTTGTTGATTCAGTTCAATCGATCAGACGTGTAACTGGCTGCCTTCCATCACAGGGGCAAACAGTAATGTTTGCAAGGTAGTAGTGCATTGCATCTACCAGACAGAGTTGATGAAACGGATGGAGCCCTCAAACAAAGCAGAGCTGGCTACTTTGTCCACAGGCTACAGCTAGACAACATCTGAGGTTTTTTAAATTTATGGCAGTGTTTTGAATTTAGATTGAAGCAGGCAGGCACCTGTATTTCTTAAGTCCTGAAGCTGCTCTAAGAGTCCATTGGGCAGCAGTTTATAAATATCAGTGACCTACTGCAAACATTATCAGCTCACACATTACCATTTCCAGCATTGCAAGTTAACTCTGTATCTAGAAATCTCATGAGTCCATGTGGCTAAGTGTTATCACACCTGCCGTCATAACCAGAATCTGTTCTGCCGGACCTGGAAATCCTGGCATGACTTGAGCCCAACTCCTGAATGAAAATGTAACATTGGAGATAAGGTGAAATAAATTCATGATGCTAAAGGCATAAAAAAGCAAGAAGAAATTAAAATTCCTGATGCTCTACAAAACTTCTCACAAATGATCCATGAAGACAGGAAATAATAATTGCACAAATGTTTAGACTGTATCAGTGGCTGCTGAGAAGCTGGCAAAAGAATGGTATAATTTTGGGAGAATCTATGAAGTTATGCACGGAAATGGGTGGAGGAGGCTGCAATTATACTATTGAATGTTTTCAGGCCCAGAAAACATCCTTGCTTCAGTTTCAAATTGCTCCCTTTCTCTGCAGCACCAGGATATTGAACCTCTTTCAGCTTGAAGACTGAATTTCATTTTGGAGACACTCTTAGAGCCTGCATTCCAGTAGTGGATGGGACTGAGATATGACAGATGCCAGTAAATGCTCACACAAACTGCTTCCTTCCGTTATCTAAGCCTTAGAAGAGGCATTTTGACCATTTAGAATTAGGAAAAAACCTGCTGAAAAACTGGGAAATAAGTGACAAATGGCGTGGTCCCTTGAGAAAAACTAAAGGGACAACAGAATCTGGACAACCTAGATTTGGTCCCCAGGCCTCGGCTTCTGCATTCTCACCTAATGTGCTGCCCACCAGATGTTCTGGACTACAACGACCGCAATTCTCACCATTGGCCAAACTGGTTGGGACTGATTAGAGTTGTAATCCAAAACATCTGGAAGACACTAAAATAGGGAAGGCTGCAAGGTGCTTGTCTTTAATGGCTTTCCCCCAATTCCTTAGTTTGATTTGTAAATTCCCAGGGCAAAGCTCATCAGCTCTCAAGCTAAATCAAAATTTTAGAGTGTGGGGGCTGCAAAACACAGTACACATGTACTTAATAGCACCATGTCTCATAAAACTGATCCAGCTTATGGCACACTTGCTCTTGCCACAGATTTGCACGTCCCCAGCAAAAATCCACATTTCAGCTGCAATATACAAAAGGATCAGGGACATTCTAAAGATCCTTCCAGACCAGTGGCTCTTAGTGCCACTCAATCATCATTCTTCTGCTAGAGGCTATGTGTAGAATTACAACTGACTTGCCTCATTTAAGGGCTACAAGCACTTGGGCCTGTGCCTCCTGCTCTGTTCCCCCTGCATTAGTGCACGATACAGCCTTGTGGACAAGGAAAGGACAACATGTCTGCCCTTTTCATTTTTAAGCCCTTTCCCAAAACAATTCTGAGCCATGTTTTAAATCTAAAACTTTAAATTTCTGTTCTATTGACTAGACTTCTACTTATTAAAATAATTTAAATTTAAATATAACAGAGCATGATGCAAATGACACTAACCAAAGATTTTCATATCTGCTCTAGAACACCTTTTAAGTATCAATATCCAAATATTTCAATAGCTGAAATATCCATTTAATTATCAGCATCATGAAAGGCAGCTTTGCATGTATATGAGACCTAAAAATCTAATATAGATCTGGTAAACAGTGCAAATTGTCTGCCATATTTTGGTTTATACATGCCTGTTCGAAAGAGGATAGGGGGAAGAAAGAAAATTTAAGGTATGGAGGATGTGAAAACTGACACAAGTAGTTAAACCTTTTCGAAACATATTGGAAACTTTTGATACAATGTTAGTAAAATTAGGCAAACTAAGGCTTTGAACCCAGTTTTTCTGAAATCCTTGTAATATTCCATAAATGAGAATACTGGAATATATACTGGAATCTGAATGATTGAAAAAAAAAAGTGGGCTGGAAACAGTTGCTTGCGATTTTCCCCCAAATATCTGTAGCCTCAGTGACAAAGATGTAGCTTTCCCTTCAGCAATATAAACCAGCAGAGCAAGGGTGGAGCACCAGCTGCCTGCAGATGATTCGATTACAAGACCTATTATCTCAAACAACTGCTCATGATGACACGAATTGACAGGAGTTTCAGTATTACAACATCTGGAGGGCCACTGGTTTCCCATCCCCTGGCTTATTTGCACTTCTGTTTAATACTGGAACTCTCTTTCACTTTGATTTCTAGTGCAAGGTATATATTTCAACCACAGCCAAGCATGCTCCATTGTCTGAAAAGAATGCTTGCTAGAAACATTCGGTTTAAAAGCAAGACTACGGGCTGCTTGGTTTGTCTTGGCTGTGTAGCAGAGCCCCTTTTCCTCCCAGCGTGTCCTGCTGCCTTGGCTTCTCCTGCTAGTCTGCTGCATCCAAAGGCGGAACAAGGTGGCTGTTCGCTGCTAGTTTAGCAAGTGCCATAGTGGCCTCTGGTGGCCGCAAGTCATAGCTTCAGGGCACCCTACAACTGAGAGGCATGCAAAATGGCATTACCTAAGAAGCCAATGAAATCTTTCAGTGCAGCTTTTCCAAACGGGATCACATTGGGAGCACTTAAGTGAAGGTGTGTGGGATCAAAATGTGGCTCTGTAGCATACTGGCATGCGCCAAACAGAGAGAACATACATTAAGCTGCTAACCTACATCTCTGAGTGTCCAAGTTCAATGCCTCATGCCTCTTATCAAACTGGCTGATTTGGAGCAAGAGTAAGCATTGCTACTGCCCACAGACCAGAAAAAAGCCACGGGAACGCTGCTTCCATGAACCTAGGTGAACAAGAGTGCCCATCATTCCATCCTGGGCTTCTTTTGCCTGCAGAGCCCAGAGAGATCCTATAGTACACAGCAGTACCAATCGGAATGTCCCTTTAGAGCGGGTGGTGCTGTGCATGTGTAGCTGAAAACTGGGGAGATTCAGACATGCGCAGGACTGGTGCACATTTGCACTCTAGGGATGCGCTTCCTAACGATATTGCAACTGCATTAAATTTCTCAAGGACTTGAGCCCTACTATTCCTGTGGAATGTCTTGTACTTGCAGTTGTACTTGTAGGTTCTGCAGATGCACTGGAAGGCCAGTTAAACAGGAGAAGATGCATGAAATGTACATTTTAAAAATGAAAGAAGCCAGACTTCCCCCCTGCTACTTTCCCCTGGCTCTGCGGTACCTGCAACACACGTTTACCAACAGTTCCATGGACGATTTAGCCAACACTCTTGCCCCTTGTACCGTGCTTTAGATAAGCTATCCGCCTTTAAGAATGATTGTTTTTCAAAGCATTGCTTGTACCTGTAAGTAATTAAGAGTCCATTCATTCCTTTAGCAGAGGAAGTGGAACAGAACGATATAATTTAACTGTGCAAAACTCAGGGGCACATAGAATCCATGATATTACCAGTAAGTGTGCCAAACTAGCAGAAACAAATTTCCCCAATCTCAGTCCTAGGAAGGATTTGATCCGTACAAAGGGGACCAACAACAAAATGTGTTCCTGTTCAGTGTTCTTTCCAGCCAGTATACCCACTTCCAATCCCTCCTCCCCAATAAGTCAATACTCATATGGATGTGTCCCCTCCACCAAGTTCACTTGGTACAGAAGGGGACAGTTTGTCTACTGATGATACGAACATATCAGCCCAGTGTGATTTCACCTGTACTGGTTACCAACTGAAGTCTGGGCTTAGGCTAACATATAAAGCCCTGAACAGCTTAGGCCCTGGATATCTAAAGGCATGTCTTCTCCCATATACACCCACCTGAACCCTTAGGATCATCTATGGAGATCCCCCTTTGTGAGTCACCACTGAAGAAAGTGAAGAGGGTGGCTATGAGAAGGGCCTTCTCGGCTGTGGCGCCTCACTTGTGGAATCAGCTCCCCAGAGAAGTATGCCTGGTGCCAACCCTGCATACTTTCCAGCACTGGGTTAAAACTTTATTTTCCCACCATTTGAATTGTTGCCTTGCTAGTTTTATATTGGCTTTTAAATTGTCTGGTGCATGTGGAATAACATTATTTATTGTACTGTGTTGTTGTTGTATAGGCCTGCGAACATTTGATTGTACAGAGATGTTTTTATTGCAGGCATATCTGCTTCAAATGGTTTTAATTGTTGGCTTTTGTATATTTTAATTATATTGTGTAAAGCATTTTGTGAGCTTTATGCTAATCAAATAGTATATAAATGCTTTAAATTAAGGGTTATTTTCTAATGCACTGCTTTTGGTTTTCTAAGCTTCTGAAAAACTTCAACCCTGCTGATATCTCCCACCTGTGCATGTATTTTGACCACACAAGGATGTATACTCAGATAATGAACATTAGATTAGAGGACATGAATATGGTAAACTGCTCTTTCAAAGTGCAGCGGTTATTTTTATGTACATCTGTACCACCAAGAGGTATAGTAGCGTTTCTCCTCAAAGTTATCTTCCCTTTGATTCATGGTGAAAGCTAAGCTAGAAAATTGGGTTTTGCCTTCTAATGTTTACATCAGTTTAAGGAACAAACCGCTATGTATTATCCTGTCCACTTAGAAGGAAAACATTCTCCAGCAGCATTTCGCTGTAACCCTTGCTGTCTGATCATCTCAAGGGTCTGTTGCCAAGTAACAAGGTTTGACTCTTGATACAAATCAAAGGATTGCATGCAAGCACACAATAACCACAGTGTCTCCATAACCATAAAACCTTTATTTGTTTCAAGTGACTGAAGGGGAAAAAATCATTTCTCTTTTGTCTGAAATGCATTATATGGCAGCAGAGAGAGCGAAAGCCTCACCTCTTTGTCTTCCCTCCCTACCTTGGGGTGAAAGAAAAAGGGCCAGGACCAAGCTCTTTGACCGATTACAAAAAAAATAAAATAAAATAAAATAAAGAAACTTTATAAAATTGTATGTGGTATAAGAAGAAAAAAAGAGGAGGAAACAGACAGGACAGCGGCAGAGAGGAATCTGACCGCTATATGCATGAGTGAGTGAGTGTGATACAAAGTGCATAAATGTGCCTCGTTCTCCCTCTCCCCCTCCCCCCTTCCCCTCAAGGTTGTCAGGCAGGGGCTCTGGCTCCAGCCACACCATGCAGCCCCCACCCGTGAATGTCTTGCCGGGGCATCCACTGTCAAGGCCCCAGTAGCAGGAGAGCGACATCTGCAACAAAAAGAAGGGTGTGATGACAGGAATTAATTACAAAGATAGGAAAGGTTGTTTCCTGTAGTGTGGAGATCTCTGTATTGTCGCTTGCCTCTGGCCCATGGGCACGCTTTTATGGCTCAGCCTCCCACGGGCCCTTTGGTGCTGCGCAGTGGAACTGATGTGACTTTTCCAAATTGCACAGCTGTGAATTATACCAAATCCCCAACCCAGTTCACTTTAATGTTTCCCAAACAAAAAATCTCCTTTCCCCAACTCAAACTTCCATGCAGACAGATGGCATGGCCAGCATGAAAACACAGAGACAGGCCAAATATACACCATCCACATCAAAGGCAGGAATAGCACATAGCCTACATCAGCATCCAGTAGGGGGCGATAAGCAGCCCAATGCAGGCTGAAGGATGTCCATCCCACATGCTTTTCCAGGGGTCGGAGGGATGCCACAACACCCGCATAAACCAGTGATGCGTTCCCAAGGCATGGTTCTGTCAGGCACCACTCTTCAACCTCACAGATAAGTGAGTACCATTCCATTACCCAGACTATTCACAAAGGAATCCCCCTTCTGGCTGATGACAGAGGTTTTAGGCACCTTTACTGTGGTTGACCACTGTGATTCAAACAGGTGGCCATCATGAATCTGAAAGATAACTTACCTACACAGGATGCCAGAAGGGCAGCCTACACATCTTTTTTGCACCATCTGCCAGTGCAGCCTCTGCAGATTCATACAGTTCTACCAACTACAGCTTTGCCCTAAACAAGATTAGTCCCTCCTAAGCTGGGTTTATGCTGGCATTTGAATGAACAAAGAAAAGGCTGGTGGAGCTAAACCACAAAGCCAAATCCAGCAGTCCAATTTTAGCTAAAGCCTGGAGGAGTTCATGTCTTCTGACTTGGTTGCTGAACATGTTCTGAAATGTTCTAGAAAGACAGTTCTGATTACAAACCGTTAGGATCGGCCAGCTATAGATAGCAGAGAGACTAATTCAATATACATTTCATTTACCACACTAGCAAAAAGAGGGCCCAAACATACCACAACCCCTAAGAAAAAACTTAGTGGAAGCAAAATCTTACCCTAAGGCACCGCACCATCAGCCTAAACAAGAATGGGCTGAGGCACATGCAGGAGAGCCTTTAGGCCATATGAATCCTGGGTGTGAGTGAAGAGACTCAACAGTCACGCCTACAATACCTTCCAAGCCCACGTCTATGAAGAGTGCTTTAACTTCTAGGTGGCCTGAATGCTTCATCCTCCTCTTCAAGATACAATTCAGAGGTTTATTGCTTAACAAATAGCTGCCACAGGCAGGTTGCCATGAAAATTTAGGCTAAACTGCCAAATTCCACCCATTTTTCATGCTATGCAGGCCAAGTATGCAGTGTGCTTGTATGCAGCATACTTGTTCAGCAACTGTGATTCCACACGCATGGATAGCAAGGATCAGAAGCCTGTTTAGGAAGTTGGATTCAAGCTCCACGTCCAGTAAGACACTTGCCTGAATGTTTGTTTTATTTCAAGGTTTCTTCTTTTTCAACTTCAGAACTTGCAGCCAATTGGGTGAGGATGTTTCTGACCTGAGGAGGCACAAAATAGTTAAAAGCAGTATGCTGGCACTGCCACGTAAAGAAAGGAAAGAAAGGTGTATACAGTCTTAAAAGAACAAAGCATAAGAACCAAGTGTCTTTTCATCCAGTGCTTTTTGTCTGACACAGATGTGAGTATGCCTCTCCCCATATCTCAAATTCCCTTCAGACAAGAAGAGACTTGTCAAACATTGACCCTGGGAGGAAAGAAGTGGTTCTACTATGAACAATCAGCTTGCCAACCACATAGATATACATAACTGATTTCCCAACTACTCCACCACTAGCAGCAAGGAGACAGAACACAGGGAGTAGGATCTCGGGGTGTTGCATTGGTAGCCCCATCTCCTCCAGGTCTGATGCTTGCCATGGGTGATTGGCAAAAGAGAAGGTAAGTCAGTGACCCAGGGAGGAACCCATAACGCCACACATTAAGTAGCAAAGGTGGCCCCAAAACAGGTTATTTAATTTCTTATTGATTTTAATTAATCTACCCAACTTTTGCTCACTAAGTTGATTTCTAATAAAGCCACCACTACAATAATAAAATATTAAGCATAAATACAAACTAACAAGGACAGTCAAATGCAGCAATTAAAACATTGTGAAAGGCCAGATTGATTAAACACTCACTGGAATATGAGAGTTTTCACCACCCACTGAAAAGCAATGAGGAGTTGAAGTAGTCTGTGGCCCTCCAAATGCCACACAACTCCAACTGGACTCCAACTACCATCAGACCTAAACAGTGTATCCAGTGGTAAAGTATGACAGAAGTTGTAGTCCAACATCTGGAGGGCCACATGATGCCCAAACCCTGCCCTAGACAGACTGTGCAATTATTACATAGGAACAGAGAAATGTTTCTCACATGTGCCCTTTTGCTGCACCGCCAACAACCAAGGAATATGGAGGAGAGCCTCTGTAGAACAGAATACTGGGGCAAGTTCGTATCAGAGATGCTAATTCTGAATATCAACACTTCCATAAGAACATAATTTGGGGATGCTCAAAGAAAGAATGGCCAACTGCAAAGCTTATATGCATTGCAAGGAAAAAATTGCACATGACTGAATGCCACTTGTCCCCCTCATACAAAGAATCCTTTTCTCATGAAAGGCTGTTTTCCCATGAGAGGACACAGCAAATGGTGGGCAAAGCCAAAGCCTTTCAGGATAGCACATCTCTCTCCCTGCACTGTCCTGCATCAGTTAGGCTGAGGGCTGCAAGCACCTCACCCAGCTTCAGTAGGTCAACTGATGACTGCTCAAGGGCTGCTCATCAGCTGCATACTAGGGTCTCATTCAGTATCAGCATTAAAAAGACAAAAGGTTCCACTAAGAACAGTTGTGAACCCTTTAGAGGGATAGATTATATTCAGGCACCCGAAACTGAGCAACAAGAGGGTTCCAGTGCCTTAAAGATTAGAAAAATGGAACCTGCAAGCAAATGCTGCAGCATGAAATGTTCCTTGTTCAGGATTCTGGTCACACTGCTTCATTTTATTTACATTTTAGATGATTTCTATTTTTCTCCCCAACCACCAATCAACATCTCATGTCCTCTTAGCATGTTCAGTTCATAATGGACTACAAAAGCGGTGGCAGGAGGGATTTCCCTGCAAAGCTTGGAGCTCTGCAGAAGCATGGCGACGCCCCCCTTTGGCACATGGGCTGTGCTGTTTGATAACGCACCACTCGGAGGATTGGGATTGCCCCTAGTATAAATGACATGTCTCCTGGTTTCCTGTGCATGATCGTTGGTTCTCTTGCTTTTCTGCTACAGTTGCTAGAGAGGGTTATGCCACACCCTTTTTCCTGCACTGAGCATGATTGCCACACAGACATGCCACCACAGGCTCTTGTCCAACTTCTGTTCCTCAACCACACACCTACCCTGAGGATTTCTCTGGCTTGGGCGGCAGCACCAGAGACTTCCCACTGATGTTGGCAATCTTGCACGATTTAGAGCGCTGTACGTTAGTGTCTTTGGCCTCACTCTGTTGATCTCCTTCCTCAGCAGAGTGATTTCGTCCTCTCAACTTTGCCTAGGATCAAGCACAATAGAATAACATAACAGCATAAGAGCAGCTATGCTGGATGCGATCTGGCATAAATCTAGTCCAGCATTCTGTTCACACCGAGGCCAAGCCAGCTGCCTATGGGAACCCCACAAGTGGGGCACGAGCACAATAGCAGTCTTCTGCTTGTGCTGCCCAGCAACTGGGATACACAGACATACTGTCTCCAGCACACAGCCTTTATGATTAGTGGCCATCAATATTTTTATTTCCATGAATTCTTCTAATTGCCTTTTAAAAACCATCCAAACTGGTGGCTATCAGGACGTTCCACTGTCTGATCAGGTACTGTGTGAAGTAGCTCCTTTTATCTGTCCTGAATCTCCCACCAATCCATTTCATGGAATAGACCTGTTTGGTTCTACTATTCTGAGAGTGAGAAGCAAGTAGTAAGCAAAACTATAGTTCTCTTGTATGCCTTCTCTCTGACCTTCACTAACAACCTTCTTTGCTCTTTCAAAGCTGCCTTCTGCAATCTCTTTGCCATCAGTGAGATACCAATCTCATTCTCTAATCAGTACCTTGATTTCAGCTTGGAAATTTGACCCTGAACATTCAAATAACTAACCATGACCCCTCCCTAAAACATGCTGGTCCTCATTGCATCATTCTTCATCGGATTCCCCACCAGATATTACCTTTAGTGCTGATGCACTGAGACCAGGAAAGAGGGGCACCTTTACCCCCTTGGAGAGTGGAGAATTTCTTGACTTCCTACTTTTCACCTCCTCATGGGCTTCATCATCTGAGGCTGGGGAAGCTATTCGAGGCTCTAAGGACACAGAAGTGGCAGTAAACAGCACAAAAAGCCATTCTAATGCCATAGAACCACCCCAGCCCAATTCATGCCACACCAAAGAAAGTAAAATAAAGCCTATACACAGGGCCTAGAACATAGTAATGGGAGTTAAAGTGGGGAAATTCTGTCAAAATTCGTTCTTGCAGTCAGCCTTGCTGCCTATGTCTAGTCCATCTGTTGAAGCCTGTAACTGAGTGCTGAAGGAAGGAAATGTATTACTAATTATTGTTTATTATCATCACTGTTTTTATTCATTAGAAGAGTCTGACCCTCAACAATGTCCAGGTGGGACTGGAAACTGTACATAAGCTGTACAGAATTTCTTGTGAAGAAAGGTGGGTATATAACTAACAAACATGATAGCCTCACAGGAACATGCCACACATAAATGATGTAACCATGTAGGACAAAAAGCAAACTTCAGTAAAGGTGTCAGGAATATGTCACCAACACAGTCACATGCAAACCACATGTCCAGCCCAGCTTGCAGCATTCCATCTTACCTGTGGAATCTCTGAACATCCAGCTGCTATTCTCTGAAAGAGCACCTCCAGACCGTGTGGCTGGTGCCCGGTGGCCCCTCTTGCGGCCCAAATTAGCACGCTCACGGTATGCGGTGTTGTCCAGAACCTCTGTATCCTGAATCCATGCACAAGAGGGGAAGGAAAAGATTAGAGAAAGACATTCCTGTGTATGTAGTCATCCCAATTATAAGCTGGTCTGATAGGCTGGGCCTGCTTGTCTTCTGTAATTTTTGTGTGTTCTGTGTTTTTAATGTACTAAATATTTGTCTGCTTTTTAATTGCCTAAGATTTCTTGAGTGCTATTTTATTGTCAGAAAGGTAGGATACAAAACAAATAAATAAAATGTACCCCCACCACACACACACACACAAATGCAGAGCAACGTCACACACCTGCAAAACTGCTGATGCTACTTATACAACTTTCTCAGCTTTACCTCCTTCTGGCCCACCCTGAAAATTTTTATTTCTCAGTCCCATCCCCCACCTGCCCTCAGATTAGCTTAGCTTGCTAAAATTTTAGATGGGTTTTGAGTGCTGCAAGTACAATGAAACTGCTTAAATACTTTTCAGTGGAGTTTCATTATAGAAGCCTGCTTGTGAGGTCCCCAGATGTCACCATGAAGTTTGGAGCCATGACCAAGGGTATGCCAGGCCTGCCCAGATTCCTAGCTTGTATTAAATACAAAATAAAAAGTTTCTACCCCTTATACAAGCTGAGATGTAAGACAAAATGTTCAGAGATTATTTTATTTGTTTTCTAAGCAAAAAGAGTCTTCTTCCACCTTTCATGGTTTCTAGCCAATGAATGAAGCCATGACAACGTTGGCATGGAACAGGGCTTATCATCCCTGGTCTGGAAATGCTAGCTCTTTCCACATAGCACTGGGATGTATTGGTAGAACTCCAGGCAGATTAGCATGTGTGGTCCAGCTGAAAACCTCCCCAGTAACTTCAGTTGTAATCTTTATTTTGTCCTAAGAGAATTGTAAATTAACTGGCTGAAATGATAACATTAGAAAAAATTCTCTCTTCCCTCCCCAGTTCTCTGGCTTAATACAGCTTCAGCAACCACACATAAGCTATCCTCCAGAGGAGACCTGAGCCAACTTGCAAAGCCCGCATCAGGGGACAAAAAGGAAAGGGCAGATGGAGTGCCGTTCACAGTAAAGGGATTTTGTCAAGAAAGACTGAAATTCAGCCCACTGTCTGAAAGACACCATAAGGCATTTAAGAACAATATGAAAGCCCTTCACATCTCAGCATTGCTGCGCAGTTTAAGTCTGCATCTAGGTGAATGAGCCAAAAGTTTCTCAAGAACACATTGCAGATTGCAGAAACACCCTAGGTAGCACTTACCCCTAAAAAGAAGTTTTCCCTCATCACTTCTAGAGCCTTCTCTGAAGCATGACCCTCCTGGGATGCCGGTTGTGTTATTTGGCTTCCATTTTGCTCTGGATGACTCAGCACCCTTGCTTCTTCAGGCAGTTGACTCCCATTTCCAATGTCCAACTGGCTCTCTCCACCCTCGGCACCAACCAAAACCTTTTCATCCTTCTCCACTGGAGAAGGAGATACCCTAGCCTTCTCATCAGGCAAGTTGCTCAGTCTCTTCTGTGCTTCCAGCTGGTAGCTGTGGAAGGAGGCGGGTCTCTTCTGATGTGCCAACTCTTTGACAGCACTATTGGAAACCATCTCTTCCAGGAAGTGGCTAGGACTGGACAGTCGTTGATTATGAAATTTTCTGCTGGGTTTGACATAAAGCAAGTCTGTGTGAGGTTTTTCTTCCTGTTCTCCATAAGGCTATCATCATCCTAGGATAGTTTCCCTTCCCCTATCCCAAAGTAATCTCATATCAGCAATATTCCTTCTCAAATCCTTTTTCACAACATGTACAAGTAATGAAGCTGTGTAAAGAACAGGACTGAATCATAGCTGCCAGGGGATGAAGACCATGAAAGGGGATTCAAAGATGCTGTTGTTAATAAAGTAGCTGTACAAATGACTCAAGCAGGACAAATCCTAATACCCTTTGGTACAGCCTTCCTGGTGTGAAGCCACTTCAGGATGCACATGGGTCTTACATGATCCAAAGCAACAGTGGGTGTTTAGAAAAAACAGCAGGAGCCCCCAGCCTGCAAAGAACTATCTTGACTTTCTTCATTTTGCACTCCCAGCAGAATCAGGAGTACAATCCTATGCAGGTTTGCTCAGAAGCCCCCACCCTATTACACAGGGCTTGCTCTCACATAGCACGACATACAGAGCAGCCTTAGTCAACTCGAGTGAATGACCAAACATGGGTTAAAAATGCACAGTTAGAATCCAGCCTTGACAGCACTTTTTATTCAGTCCCATTACAGGAGGAAAGGTTTTGTAGACTCCAAAATGCTATGCTGAAACAAGAAGTCCTAATTCTGTAACTAGAATAAACTATGTACATCAGATAATGTCATGCATAACTTGGTCTGACTATGCAGTTTGTACTTGCCCTTACAAAGGTAAGGAAATTTTTGTTCAGGTTCTTCTATCACAAATAGAATAAAGGGCAAAGGAAACCTAGGGATGGGGAGTATAGAAAAGGATGCTTGCTGAATGAGTACTGTGTCACAACTGATGGAAAACTTTGCAACTCTTTTAAAGCTGTAAAAGGTGGCCTAAGTGACAGTTTATTCTGTGGCTGGAAGTGTGTACGTGTACAAAAGGGGAATACCAAAGAAAAGCATGGAGATTTTATGAAATGGTCACTCTTTTGGACGGTGTCATCTCTGCCAACACTGATAATGTGTGCTAATTCCTGCAAGTGCAACTGAAAAATGAGGAGCTGTGTTAAAGGTGTCAAATATGCTGAATCAGAACATTCAGCCAGGAAGTCTCCACTCGGAAACAACCCACTACAAAATAACCAAGAGGGATAGGGATAGTCTTAAAATAAGAGAGCCATCAGGAACACACACACAAGTTTCCCCATCAGAGAACCGAAGTACTGTAGTGGTAAATAGTTGGGCTCAGACCAGGAAGCCCCATGTTCAAATCCCTACTTAGCAAAAGATAACTGGGTGACCCTTGTGTCTTGCACAAGGCTGTTGCAAGAATAAGTAGGATAACACTCATGTAGGCCCTGTGCAATCATAGCACCAGATTCTGTGTCAGAAGTCATACTCGGCGACTGTAGAAAATATCTAGGTTCTGGGCTATCCCCACTGCGATGGAATTCTTGCAATTCATAGGGACGACCAAAGACAAGGAATCCAGGATTATCAACTGTTGGACTGCTAGCTGATGCCAGTACTTAATGCAAAGCTGGCCTTCTTTGTCTCCACACTTCTCTGCTCACAGGCCTCATACACAGCAAAAAACGCAAAGGATAACCCAGGGCAACTTCACATATTATGTACAAGCTCCCATTTGTCATTCTCACATATCTGCAGTAAAGCATAGCACAAGGTGGACAACTTTGGTTGCCTCACTGCTGTTGCATTACCATTCCTATCATCCCTCAGCAGTAGTTATACTGGCTAGGACTGATAGGATATGTAGGCCAAAATATCTGGAGGGTCACAAGTTGCCCACCCATAATACAGAAGAAAGATATGTCAAAATATACAAGCACAAATATAAATCCCAAAGTTTTTTGATAGAAGCAGATGTTTGAGTTGTGTAATATGCACCGACACGGATCATGCAGCTAGACCCCAAAATTTGTATGTTTGTTTTCTAGAGCATCAGTCTCTCAAGAGTTATTTGCAATAGTTAAATGGAACTCATGCCAAGTCAAAGGCAAAGAATCCCTCTCAGTACTAGAGAGGTTTGAAAAAGACAGCTGCTGCTCTTATGCCCTGCTCACAAGCTGGCCAGACACCTGACCAGCCTGATCCTCACCATCCGGAGACAAGCAGAAATTATCCTTAATGCAATCTGCAAATCGCCACCAAACGTCTCCATGGAAGGAATCAAGGTCTTTAACTAGGCATGGCCTTGGTTAGAGGTCACTTCCTCAGTCTTCTTTGCCATCTTTCATCTGTTTGTTTCAGGTTACAAGGACTACATGATGACAATTTCAGTCATTTGAGATTAAAACTGACCCAGTTCTTCCTCTGATTTCCACATATGCATGAAGGACACAATGTGAAGGCTTCAGGAGTTTCATAGCTAGCTTGCTGAAGTGCAGCATATGCAAGCTCTCTCATGTGCTTCCTCCCTTTCATACTGTCAACTTCCCAAGTTTGGGGGCAGTCAGATAAAAACAGCACAAAAGCTGGAAGTCTTATTCTAAGTAAAGAAATAAGTTCTCTGAATATTAGAATGAGACAGAAGCTATAACCCAGAGGAAGTGAAGTGAACATAACTAGGGTATTAGCTGTATAAACCCAAAATGTTTCCCAGTTTAGCAAAGGCTAGAAAGTCAGTAACAGGTCTGCTTGCAGCCTGCTATTCTTAACTCTGTTTTGCATTTCGAGTTAACCTGTTTGGCTCTCAAAAATACCATTTTCTTGGTGAATGCAGTACAGGGATGGCTCCAGGAGTGAGAGTTTCTGAGCAAGGTATGTTAGACCACAGTGCTCAGCTAACAGGCCAGTAAAGCCTGTCCTTACCCACTCTTACTCATACAAGTCATGCCAAGTTTATGTTACTTCCGCATCAACATAATCCTAACTCCTTGCTGGTTTCCACAGTAACTGGTCAGAAGCTGGGAAGTTGGATAATGTATTGACACAGGGAAGATGAACAGTGCTCTCTCCAGGGAAGAGTAGGCTGCCATGCCCCTCTGCATCCTGGCAAATGGCCCGTTCTCCCATTGGTGTGCTTGAATATCATGCCCACACTTATTTCCCATTGTTCAGGGGATTGTTCAGAAGGCTGATTAGGGACCATGTCAGGCTGAGGCTAACAGAGCTAACACTTCTGTTAACTGCAGGCCCCACACTTTACTGTTTGTGTCAGTATAGCAATGTTTAGGTTTGATATTTCTTACTGGAAACTCTTGACAACTGGTGCTCAATATCGCCAGGAAATTAAAGAAAAGGCTCAAGTAGCAGAAAGAGTAGAATATAAAGAAATGTGCTAATAAAATAAAACTGATTATCATCAAGAAGCTATCCAGCTGCAAGAAGATCAAAGGTTAGAAAAACTTGAAAGCTGACAGGAAAATAAGTCAAGGATATACACTAAAGAGCAATATTCTAACATACTGCTTAGCTGAATACATTCTGAAGGAACTGTATGTTCCAAGTGGCATCAAACTCTGAAGGTTTAAAGTATTTGTTAGTGGAATCAAAAGGAAAATGAGGAAGACAGACATTTGAAAGAGAATGCTCATATTGCTCCACTTTCTACAGATTTTCAAAGCATATGTATCACAGGAAAAGTAATTCTAGTCAGTAAAGGAAAGAGGTTATGAAAAGTCCCATAGACACCATAATAGGAGACATTATTGGAGGTAAGGAGAAGTCTACAGAATACAACAGAAGAGCTCAACAGACAAGATACCATATGGTAATTCCTTACCAAAAACAGATAATTACAGGGATGAGGGCAATGCGGGGAAGCAGATAGGAGGCAGGCAACTATCCCTTGACTAACTCTTTACAAAAGATGATTAACAAAGATGGATGCACATGCAAAATTTCAAGTTTCAGTGTATCATTATGCTATGTTCATTTTACTCCACTCTTCCTCCATCTTAACAGTAATAAAAATGACAGCCTTTACCTCTCTTTAGCAGTTTCTGGGTGCTGTGCCACATCTCCATCCAAACCAGTAATTCCAAAGGGATTGTTGTGGCCTTTATGCTCAGCTGTGCCAGTCCCATCTATTAGGTCCACTTCCTTAGTCCCATCGAAAGCCTTAGGCCTCAAAGTAGATACATCCATGCTTTCAGTGCCAGAACTATAGGCCAAATCTGCTTGTCCCACACCAGGTTCTCTGGTCTCTTCTAGAACCCCAGGCCTTGCATCAGATGAGGCAGAAATGATTTCCAAGCCCGGGCCAGAGAACCAATAAGGCTGCTTCTCTGCAGGTTGTTTAGATGAATCAGGGCTCTCAGTTTTCAAGTCACCAGAGAGATACTTATCTCTGACACCAAGATCTTGAGTCCACGCAGGTTGTTCCTCTCCTACTCCTTTAGCTTCAGTTTTTAAGCCCCCAACCTGATCTATCAGTCGGTCAACTGTTTCCTCCAAATCCACTGTCACTGTTTGCTTTGAGAATTGGAATGAACCAAAACTACCAGTTTGGTCCTTCTCTGTGACACTAAACAGTTCTTTCTGTTCTGTTTCTGAGAGATGAGCGTCTTTGACCCAATCTCGTGTGCCAGCAGGGAAATCACCACTTCTAGGATCAGTTTTGTTCAGGCTGTATTCATCAGCCCAAACCTGCTTCTGGGCACAAAACTCCTGATCATGATAATCAAACTCAGTTCTGCTGCCCCTGTCTCCATTGTCTAGTTCTCTTTCCCAGCCTGTTTGCTTGTCATCATATTTCCTTGTTCCTTCTGGCTTCTCAACACTGAACTGACCCTCACGGGATTGGGTAACCCCCATGTCATATCTGCTAGACCAGTCAGACACCTTGACACTCATTTCTGACTCCTGACAGCTGCCATCACTGGAACCATACATGGGCTGTGATTGCTGCTGAGCACTACCCTGAGATTCTGGGTGGTTAGCATTATTTTCACTGGGTTGCTCAACCTGCTGGGTGCCAAATTCTGTTTGTGGTTCATTAGCAGTACTGCCAGCACTGGTTTCATTGGGCCAAGCTGACTGGTTAGCATTCAGTGTTGTATCTTGAGAGGTGGCATCCATAGCCCTGCAATCATCAGGCACCTCTGGTTGTCCAGTACCAAGTTTGGTATCTTGACGGCTGTCAGTAATGTACTTGTCATACTCTTCGGAGGACTTAATGTTGACCCCTGATTCTAGACCTCTGGCATCTTCCACACTGTATTTGTTGACCCAGTCGGCTCCTTCAGCAGCAGTAACATGGTACTGGCTGCCCCAACCTGTCTTCTCAGCTTCAAAACTGCTGCTCCCCTGATCATCCTCAGCACTGCAGAGTTTGGGCCAGCCTGGCTTTCTTGTGTAGGGCTCTTGGTCCTGACACTCGACGGTACTGATGTATGTGCTGCTCCAATCTGACTCCTTAATCTGCTGGTCCGCACAACTGTTGCTATAGGTGGCAAGCCAAGCTTCTTGTCCTGGGTTGGAACTGCCTATCAGTGGTGTCCCTCTGGTCCAGTCTTGTTGGCTGGTACCAAATTCTATATCCTGTGTTTTGGCATCACCAACACTATATGAGCTCAGCCAGTCCCGTGTGCCAATGCCAAACTCTCGATCCTGTTCCGTTTCATCAGGCCAATCCGCCTTAGTGACATGAGGTGACCAATCCATTCCAAAAGCAGACTGATCATCTCCTACAAAGCCAAACTCACTGCAAAAGTCCTTCTGTGACCATCCAAGGAGATTCTAAGGAAAGCAAGACAAAGAGGAAACCTTAGGAGGAAGGCGCAATTTAGAAGGGACTGAATGTAATACCAATACCCCTTATCCCAACCCACACCCATATAAGAATCATAGTAAGGAGACAAATCAAACACTCAAGTTCATTATTTTCTCCCTACATTCAGAGTCCAAAAAGTCAATCGGAATGTATTCACTTAACTTGCATAAGTTACAGAAGGATGCCTGTTATGCAAGCAGAAGGCCCCAGGTTCAGTTCCTGGCATTTCTAGGTACGGCTAGGAAAGTCTCTCGTCTGAACCCCTGCAGAGCTGCTTCCAGTCAGCTTAGATTCCTGGTCTTCTACTGGCACAATGGGATCCGCTGGGTCAGCTTGATCTGACACTACTACCATACAAATATATGGTTTAAAATTAAGATGATGGTCCCAAAAGGCAAATTAGAACTAAATGTGGATTCCTGGTCTAGAAAGATTTGAAAACCATTGGTGCATACAATACTGAGCTTGATGGACCAGTGGTTTCTCAGAACAAGGAAACCTACTATGCTACTAATTTGTTCTCCTAAGGCACGGATGAGGAACTTCCAACCTAGGGGCCCACTGTGGCCCAAAGAAGTTCCCATCTAGCCCATGAAGACTTTGGCTCCCTCTCCGCCCTTCAACCTCCTGCAGCCCCTCCTCCTGGAAGCTACGGAGGGCTTCAGGAAGAAACATGGAGAGAAACTCCCGCTGTTATCTCTGATCTGTGAGAGAAAGGGAAGTGGGCACTCCCACTTTCCAACAACAAATCTGAAATAATGGAGACTCCTATCACTTATCTTGCCACTTGTTCTCACAATGTGAGGGGATACCTGCTCATTTCTTGTTAAATGCATGGCCACAGATTGAAGAGCTGTATCCAATTGTGGATAGATGCAGCATGTTACAAACTTTTTCGAAAGAGTGAAATGTCTACATGTACTCATAATGTCTATGTAAGAGTGCTTTCCCTGCAAGAAAACTGTAACTTGAAATCAGCTTTGAGGAATGATTTAGAAATTTTGGCAAGGATATGTTGGCAAGGAGTATGGAAAAGTTGTAAATGAGGTATATAAGTGGCCCAACAAAGGCAGGAAACAGCAGCAACTGAAACTGGACAATCAACAGTGCAGAGCATAGCAGCCCCAGGAACTAAGCCCCTGCAACTCTAATCAGCCCATCTGGTTTCTAAGTTTTTAGAAACACTCTGTATTATAATCACCTCATGAATGATTAATTCTTGTCCTTCGAACCACCAAGCCTCCCTAGATAGTTACATGAGTTACTCTACACAGCCTAGTACAGTAGCTGACACACAGACATGTGCATACAAAGGCCTCCCAAACTAATGATCACACCATTCCTCCTTAGGCAGAGTATGAGGGAGCTTTAGCCACAGCTTCAAGCTGGCCAAGCGACAACTCAGTACAGGCAGGAATAGCTTTGCTACATGAACTGGGGAGTGAAGCTGCTGCTCCTCCTCCTCAGAGCACTGGAGGGTTATCCCAGCTGGCAGCACTTTTTGGCTCAGCCTCCGCATTTGCACTCTGCAGTCATCTAACCTGTTCAACCGCTTTGCAGCTGACTCAAAAACGAAGACCTGCCCATCCCAAAGACAAGCCCAGTCTCTGTTATACAACTGGGCAGGAAAGCACACCCATCTAGCCATATTTGGTTCTACTTAACACCTTCCAGGCCAGGCTATAAAAACATTAGAAAGAGGATGCCAGGAATGCCTGCCATTCACACCCCCTTTTGTTGGCCTGACGCAGCTTCAAATGCCCCTACAAATAAAGCACTTTACCTCTGGTCCTGTGGGATCTTCTGGTTTGGGTGTGCTTCTCCTCTTGGTGTCATCAGCACTGGGAGGTGGAGATGCCAGAAGTTCATCCAGCCAGTGTGAGCTATGATCAGGCTCAAGCCCCTTGGCATGGTCGACACCCCCTGTCTTGCCTTCCTGTGCCAGAGCCAGAGCACTATTGTCCTCCTGACAGGAGGCAGCTGTCTGTACTTGGGCATCTTCTGAGAACAAGATGCAAGGTTCTGCAGGGGGGGCAGCATCCTCTACATTTGGCAAGGGCTCCATTGCCCGTAAAGCTTCTTTCTCAGAAGTTGGGGCAAAAGGCTGGAAGCCATCATGCTCCACTTGAATGCCACCCTCTTCTGCTACTATAGGGCTCTGCAACCTGGGGCTCATGGGCTCATGCTGAGCAGAAGGACCTCCAGGTGCTGACATCCCAAGGGCTGAAGAAGACTCCAGTTCCCATTCAACCTTCCTCCCATGTCTTGGGGACTCCCTGGAGCCATCTAAGCAGGCAGAGCTCCCATAATCCTCAACCTCCTCCCTTTTCCTGCTCTGGCCTTTTAAACCTATCTCCTCATGAGATCCTTGGAGGACAGGGCTCTCTCCACCTAATTCTGTCTCCAAAATGCTGGTGTCATCAGTTTCCTTAATAGGAGACCTGGGAGGAGACCCCAGTCTTCTCCCACCAATGTCAAAAGCCCGGTTAGGGAATGACCATTCAAAGGACTGTGAAAGGCTCCAGTTGGACTCTCCTGCTGTTGCTTGTTCTAAAAGAGGGCCCCCTCCTCCCTCTCTTGGGAGGACAGCCAAGGATCCTCCCAGCTCCTCCCTGGTCAATTTTTTACCACGTGGCTGCACTACTCCTTCTGAAGCACGCCTTAGGACCAATTGTGAGAACTGAGGGAGCACCTGTGCTGGGTTCTTGATGGGATCTTGCTCCCTAGAAGGTAAGGAGTCTTGTGGGTGAGAAGGAGAGCCAGGAGGCTGATCAGAACCAACATGGTACTCAGAAGGAGTGCTTGGGGAACCAGGGGACTCAGAGACTCCAAGCACACAGCGAGGGACTTCTGGGCTGTGCTCAGCATAAACATTGGTCGAGCTAGCAGATTGCCCAGGGAGCAAAGAAACCTCAGGAAGATCTGAGAGACAGGAAGACAGGGTGTGTCCTAGGGAAGTCTTTAAAAAAGCACTGGGGGATCCTGGGGGACAAGGGTCTGCAAGGGTCACAGGGGACCCTGGAGCTTGGCCAAGACCAAGAGAGGCCTCCACAGGAGACTGGGGAACTTCAGTAGGTGCATCAGGGGAACCTGGTGGAAACTGAGCTTCAGTACAGGAAACATCTGCTGGAAAATAGGGAGCACCTGGGGGCTGAGCTGTTTCAGCAGGAGCATCAGGAGACCCAGGTGAGACTCCAGAAGAAAGCTTGTTGAGGGGCTGATAGGTCTGGGGGGGAAAGACAAGGAAAGCAAGGTTAAAAGCCACACCAACTCCATCCTTTCCTGAACAGCCCAACTAAAATTGAACCTTCGCTCTGACCCCTCTAGCTGCAAAACTGTTATTTCGAATAAAAGGTTATCTTCCCACCATCCTGCTCCCTACCCCGAATCACCCAAGTTGGGAGAATCTCTTTGTTCATACAGCTCAGATCTTGCCCCCACACTCTGGAAGTTCTACTTCCAATATACATATCCTGACCTCATCTTGAAAAAGCCTCCCATAAAATTTTCCCCCAGTCATTATAGCCAGAAGGAAATGAAATGCAAAGAGAGGAGGAGGAAGGGAAAAGAAGCTGAAGAAGTCAGTCAACATGCTGCAGTAATATCAAGATCATGTGCCCCACCCCAGGTCTTGCCTCCTCTCCAACTAGACATACAAAAGAGGAGGTGGAAAACCCCAAGCTAGGTAGATCATGCACCCAGTGAGCTGATGACCTCCCTTGCCTCCTCCTTTCCCAGGAGAGGTAAATGGAGTTAATCATTACCATCCCCATTCCAAACATGTAACAGGAAGATGTTGTACCCTCCCTGCTGGATTTGGCCATAGGCCGAGCAGTTGGGGAATTGTTTCATACCTGACAGAACACTGAACTGTATGCATTGAGTTATAGCTGCTCCCTTCCCTCCAGCTAAGGGCCCAGAATTCTGCATTAATCTTTCAAGCTGAGTCTAGGCTAGGTTTATACTAGCTCATTTACCAGCTTTTGCTTTTTAAAAGGTTTGAAGAGATATGGATCCATTTCTCTGACTTTGCTGCTGTTGGTGGTAGATTGGTTAGAAAATCAGTATTGGGATAGTGATGGGGGCAGCATGCCTTGGGTTTTTCAACACTGTGCAGTGCATATACATTTCCCAAGAGCTAATGTCAAAATGTCTAGTACTAACCATCTTACACAGGACTCAGGTTGAACATTTCAAACCCCAAGGTACCAGGAACATGAATAAGCCAATGCAGGAGATTCTGCATGGTGCCATACCCCAAGACTGAAAAAGGGACCACAAGCGTAGCCTGGGAAACCCAGTAGCACAGCATGATAGTGCATTGTTTGCTTGGGTTACCAGTCTCTTCTTGAAGAGAAGCATCAATAGAGAAAGGAGACACGCACCCTACAGAGAGGGAGCCCGGAAGGAGAGAGGTGGCAGATACCCCTGAGACAGAGGAGAGCCCGGAAGGAGAGAGCCCAGCGGAGCAATTGCCGTGCTGCAGATAACTCACGCCAGGGGGAGATGGTGGATTTCTACGCCCAGGTTGGCTTCCATCACAGCTCATGCTAGGTCGACTGGAGCTACTAAGAGAAAGACACATCACTATCAGGAAACAGGACAAGCGGTGGGTTCTGTCATATACTAGAGGCCTTCCTGAATATTTAACCCCCAGCACGGGGTTGCCATGATTTGACATGCCATCTGAACCCACGTGGCACAGGTTGCCTGAAGGTTAAACAACCCTTGAATAACCCAGAGGCTATGGGGCTGAACACTCATAAAAGCCACTGACATGCATCACAACCCACCATGGCATCCAATACGGAGGCTTCAAAGCCTCACTGAAAACCACCAAACATCATTATATTTATTTATTTATATTGCAAATTATATTCTGCCTTTTTCCTACAAAGGGCTCAAGGCATCTTACATCATTCTCCTCCTCCATCTTATCCCCACAACAGCAACCCTGTGAGGTAGGTTGGGCTGAGAGTCTGTGACTGGCCCAAAGTCACCTAGTTGGCTCCATGGCCAAGCGGGGACTCGAACCCAGATCCTCTGAGTCCCAGTCCCATGCTCTTAACCACTACACCACACTGGCTCTCACATTTGAATCAAATCTGTGAATCAAATAATCACATTTGATTCAAAGTCATTTTCTTTGCCTGGTCTCACATAAAAAAATGACCCAAGAGCTGGCACCACTCAGACATTATCTTAGGTTTTAGCATAATGGAGCTTTTACAAAGACTACAATTATCAGAATGGGGTCCACTTCAATCTAAGCTTATTCACTGTAGTAAAGTTACACTGACTGGAATGAGACTTATTCCCAACTATGCAGGCATAGCTGTACAGTTTTAAACTGCACGAACTTCAGCATTCATAAATTGCAGGGATAATTTACCTCTGCTAGAGCTAAGCATGAAAAAACAGAAAGAACTGCTAGCAGATCACCCTCAAGACATCTGGTCCATCATTTTCACCTTCCCTTTCACTCAAAGACTGGAATAGTTGCTGATCAGCATCCTGTTGTAGTTCTTAATGTAACAGTCCATTATGAGATACAGTAAAGCCAATCTTCCAAGATCACCCAGGATACCCAATGAATTCTTTGAGCCTCACCTGTCCCTAGAAAGGAAATTTAAGTTTGTCTCGACTGCTCTTTCTGGCTGCTCAGATTCAGGCACATGCTGACCATTTGAACTTGTGGTTTCCTCCTTGTTCTTTGATAATCTGTTCTCCTCAGCTTCATAAGAGGCTCTGCAAGCAGGCCCCTCTGCTTCTATTCCTCCTGCTTCACCTCCACTGGAACATCTGCGAAATGCAGCATAACCCTTGGGCCCCAGGTGAACAGCTGTGCCACCATCCTGGCTGAGGAAGGAGCGTACCAACCGAGGCCTGTCAGGGCTGTTTGGCCCCTCTTTGCTGGGTTTCTCTATCTTGGCCAAGATCTCCTCCACTGTGGTCCCAGGGAAACGCTCTGGCTTGGCTGCTACTGGCACCGGCTTCACTTTGAAAGGGGCAGCGCTCTCACGTATACTGCAGGATTCTGCATGCTCTCCCCCCGAAGCTCCTTCGGCAGCATTGGATTTCTTTGCACTGCCAGATCCTTCTTTCTCTCCAGACTGTTTGACCACAGTGGAAAATGGAGATGACACCTCTTTTCCATTGGTATCTTCTCTTGGAGGGCCCTTTAGACTAAAAGAGAGACGCTTCACAGCATTGCCAGCCCCACTGCTATATGGCTTAGGCCCAGCCAACAAATTCATCTTTTCAGCAGAGGGCACCTCAGAGAGAGCCTGACGCAGCCCAGGGACAGGCTTCACTGGCATGGCTGGCTTTGGCAGCACACAGGGCTTGGGTTTCACAGGTGGCTTTGGACGGGCATCCCCTGATGAAAAACACAGAGACTTTTAATGCAGTGTACAAACTCAAAGCATAATAATTAAATTCTTATATGGATCCAACAGGAGAATCCACTGCCTAGGCACCAAATCATTGTTCAGTGCCCTATACTAAACAAAGGTTTACCTATGCCTCCTTCCCAAGTGCATCTCACCATGATGCCAGAAGGCCAAACTCCATGTATTGTCGTGGTAAGTTTGCCATTCTCTTCCTTTCTAATAATAGGAATTTCACAGGTCACACCAGTCTGAAATTAAGTATCGCTTAATAAAACTCAAACTGTACATTTATTCCCAACATCAGTAGTTTCTCTCCACTAAATAACTGCAGCCAATGCCAAGCCAAAATGGTGAGGGAGGACCCATTTTCTTAAAACTGCCATACCAACCAAGCTACCCACCAGCAGCATGAAATATCTCCTTTTGATTTCCTTTCTTGCTATGTTTTGTATCTCATTCTGAAAAGCTACAAAACTGCTGATGCGGGTAGGGCAGGTGCTAAGATTGAGATACCACATTCTCACTGCCAAAGTAAGCAGATTCTACACCCTTGAAAGTCCAGTGCAGGCATTAAAAATGAGACTTTGTTAAAAAAAAATAATACACACTATAATCCTGTCCATACATAATTGTTTGTGCAACCTCACAGAGCTATTAATATATGCCTGTAATATGTTGTCCACAACTGCATGCACTAAGCACTAAGACTGCATGCATCTTTGGACACAAATCAAACAGAATTAATTTCTGATCTGGGAAGCCTGTGATTCTCAGGTGGTGATAAAGACTCTTTGGACAGAATTTAAGCTGCAGTGATCTGAGACGAGAAATAAGCATCTAAGCTTTACATGATCAGCAGAATCATGTAGAACAGCTCTTCACCATAGCGCCACTTTAGTCTGCATGTCTGAATTATCTACTAACTGTGCCAAAAAGAATTGTCCCTCTACATAGAAAATTAGCCAAAAAGGGAGAAAGGTTCTAACTTAGTCTTCCTGAAAGTTTGTGTCTGGGGTTACACATAGAAAGCATTAAAATATGGTATCCTTTGCCTGAAGCCTAAAACAGTCTAGTCTGGTAAAAGCTGTATCATGCAGTCCTGCTCTGTTCACAACTCTAAATTGATTAATATTAACTCTTAATAATAAAGAGAAAAATTAGAGCCCCTATAAACTTGGCATATCGTGCTGACCCACAGCCATCTTTCTACAGCAATCAATTCAGTTCTAAGAATGCTGTCCCATGACGTACCTGTCTCAGGGCTGGTTGCTGGTTGTTTGGGTCCCTTACTACCGTTGGCAGCAGTACAGGGAAACGGAGAGCCCAGAGACTGGGGCTTAGAGTCCATTGCATCACCAGAATGGGACTCTGAACTGAGCATTATTATCAGCCCCTAGAACACAGGGGGGGGGAAATGGTTAGACAGTTTGCAAAATCTTTTCAAGAGATAACCAAGAATGTATTCCCAATGTCAGACCACTGGTGCTAACACCACAAAAATGCAAGTTTCCCAATACCCTCCTTTACTTTCTTCAGCTGGATCCTTACCTGCATGAACATGGGAAACTATTGCCCTCTTCCCCCAGTCTCTCACACTCATTCATACACACACACAGTATCATGTTAGGCCATGCCCAGGGCAGGCTTGAACAAAGATGCAAGGGAGCGGGTCTCCCACATGCCATCCAGGCCATGACTCAGACTGAAGGACAAGGATCTCTAATGTACGCAGGCTGAGCCTCCTAGTCTTCTATTACTCTGCTCTGCGCACCCCTGCTCCACCTTTGCCACACCCTTGCCTTCCCTACGTCTCCTGCCAAATCTGCCTCTGCCACTCTTCTGCTGCCTTCTTTTGTCAACTCCCGTCCTTTCGCCAAAAACAAAAAAAAACAAAACAAAACAAACCCCGCCACTTGGCTGCTTTCCCCCAGCAGAATCACCCTCCCCTGTCCAAGTCCCTTCCTGCTCCCTCACTTCTTTCCCACCCCTTTGAGCAAGCAGCGGGAGAGTTTCTGCTCAGCCCTGTCCCAGCTGTATATGCTCCCAACCCGGATATGCAGTGCAGGGAGTAAACATCTGGAGTACTTCCCCCCTCCCTGATTTCTCAATCGCTTGGCGCAGCCACTGGAATTCAATGAGGTAAAGCCCAGGCCTGCTCCCGTCACTATGGTAACGGCCTCCCACTAGATTTCAGGAGAGGGCCAAACCCGGGCTAAGAGGAGAAACAGCCAGCATCTTGCTTATAGAAGCCTATGTTGCAGACTGCAGGCAAGAACAAGAACGAGGCAGAACCAGGGCTCACCAGTAAACCCACCCTCTGCATGTCAGAATTCACAGCCACAAAAACAAACAATTCTCACTCTTAGCCTGCGTCTCCACATAGTTGAGAGGAGTAAGCCCACCATTCAAAGTCGGTTTGGGAAAGGTTTCAAAGCAGATGGAGTGCCTCTGAAGGCCACCTTTTTTCTTGATGCTCAAGCCCCTCCTTTTCCTAGTTCATTTCTACAAGCCACACACTACCAAATTGCAGCCTCCCCAAGCTGGTCCTGTCCAGATACATTGAGCTACAACTTCCAGAATTCTTCAGCCAACAGGTTGGTGGGGGGAGTGGATGATGGAAGTTGTGGTCCAACACCCAGCTGAGGATGGTTGTTGTACTCCTTGACTGCTAACTCCTAGTCTTTACCAGTGCCTCAGATATGTTTGCCATATCCTGCTGCCTCTTGGACATGGACTTCTAAAACTAGCAGTGCTTTAAGCTACCTGGAATCCTAGCCAAATCTATTAGAACAGCAAATAGTTCATCCACAATGAAATAACAGCAGAAAAGACTCTTTCCAAATTCAACATGACTGCCAAAACATTAGAGGGAGAACATGACAGGCACTCAGTCCCTACCAATGCGGTGTTCTCGAGATGCTTCGACTACAATTCCCACCAGTCACAGGCAACATATGCTGGCCAATAGTCATGGATTACTGGAGTTGTCACCCAAAACATCTAAGTGGCATTAGGCTGGAGAAAGGAACGTGTTACCATAAAATGACAGACTGCCCTGTAGGTAGAAATGACTTGAGTCTACAAAGAAACTCTGTATTGCAATACAACTCCTATTTTGGAAAACTGTAGCTCATTTTGCTAGAGACCTCTGAAGGGTGCATTCTTTCACACATTATCAAAGTTTTAGTTCACAAGGCACACAAAACAAACTGACTTTCCATCTGTGATCTGTATTCCTTTCTCAAACAGTTGCAAGATCTGGTTGCACCCTTGCTACAGGTCCCAAATAAATGATCTTTTCTACCAAAGTTATTCTTCCTTTAAAAGAAGGAGGTATATTTCTCGCTTAAAGAGGTACATAAAGTTGAATATCAATGCATTATTAAAAAGAATCTATGATTGCACTTCTAGGAAAGAAAAATAAGGAATGGAATTATAATCACTGTTAGGCACAAGGATGAATATTTTTTTGTCTTCAAGCGAGCCTTGGTACAACAATGAAAGAGAGATATGCAGAAAAGCAGTAAACAAAGATAAAGAGTGAAGCAATGGAAGAAAGAGAAGATAGGCAGGTTCAGATGGTGAAGAAAGGAGTGTGTAAAGAATTATTTGTCAGGAATATAGAAATGCTCTTCTTGCTCCCCCACAACCATGTGAGATAGATTATTATTCCACAGAACAGATGGGGAACTGAAGCAGAGGCACAACCACCTGAGTTCCTGGCTGAGCAGATCACTGAACTGAGGCAAGGCCCCACTTGGATCTAATTCAACCTCTATCATTTGCTTCTACATAATGAAAGCCTGTACATAAGGACTTCCTGATGTGTGCAAGAAGGCTCAGACCACAATCTACCTATGCTGGAACCACCTGGATAGTTTCAGTTTGGAAACTTACAGGAAATATATTGCTCAGACTATAACAGGGATCTAACTGAGGAAAGTTCAGGGGATGAGCAAGAGGAAGAGAAGATGTAGGAAGAAACCTTTCGATTCAAAGATGCCAAAAGGCACATGCAGATGGCAGGAAGTAGGAAAGTTGAACTAGGAGAATCAAGAGAATGCCCAAAGGGCACTGCTGGGCATTTACAGAAGCTTCTCCTGTAAAGCACTTATACCTGCAAGACATTAGCACAAGAGGACCCTTCCTTTAGATCTGTCTACACTGAAATGATGAACCTATTTTAGCACAAGAGCCAAATTCCATTTCGGAGCTCTTGAAGGTGAGTGCATTCCAGTGGGAAGAAAGGCAAAAGTGTCGGCCAAAAGGAGCAGCAGAGCTTGACACTCTTACTGGCAGTTACTAAGCTTCAGGAGAGGCACTTTACCTTTTTATCACTGAGGGGCTGTTCACAGACTGGGAAATCAACAAAGGATTGTCAGTTGGGGAAAATGGGGTGGACCAGGGAAGGTTATCTGGAGAACTGCAGAGAGCCAGACTGCGCTCCCAAGTCAGCCAGATTTGCCCCCTGCACTTGAGGCTCTCACCCCTATTCTGCAGTATAGGTGAGCTAGGCATTAATGGCTACTTACCCAACATACACACAATATGCAGCCTTTCTCACCCTGATGCCCTCCAGATGTGTAGGACTACAGTTCCCATAACCCCCTAGCCAGGATGACCAATGTCAAGGCGGTGGAAGCTTAAGTCCAAGAACTTCTGGACAGCCACAGTTTCCTACTACTGAGTTAGGCAACATGAAAAGGGCTACTAATGCCACATACAACTAAAAATGCTTCCACAGTAGTCTCTCTTTCTAGTTCAGATACAAGTCACTTACTTATTCCTGAGAACCCAGACAAGAATTCTCAAATTGTTGCATTCTCACTGTCTTCTCTGTCACTTCCTCCCAACCCAATATCATATCAAATTCCTTTTTTAATGCTGGTATATCACAATTTTTAAAACTTCTGTTGTAGCACTATTTCACAGAATTGGGCTGAAAGGCAGTTCGATTTTAAAGACAAAGGGGAGGTGAAACTGACAATTCTCTTAGGTAAAGGGGAAAAACAGAGCAATTGACTACCTCAAATCTTAGTGATATGGAATTTTTTATAGAGCAAGAACTGATCAGGTCAGACATCATTCAGCACAGAGGCAAGCATTCTAGTCAAGTGGAAAAGGAGAAAGACATATCTCCCAGTACCACTATTTCTTCTGAAAAAAGCAGCTCCATTGTGTGTGTGTGTGTGTGTGTGTGTGTGTGTGTGTGTGTGTGTGTTGGGGGGGGTTAGAAATAGCACTGAATCAAGCCAAAAAGCCTTTTTAGCAGTTATCATGTAAAAGCACCCATGTGAACAGTTTAGGTGAAATGAAAACTAGTGACTTAAAAATAAAGAAAGAAGACAGCAGGAACACACTACAGCAGTGGTTCCCAACCTTTTCTATGTGCTGTATCCCTAGAAAATGTTTGATTTATGTTTGTACCCCCTACAAAAGTAATATCATATTTGAAGATGGAGAATTCATATTTCTCATTTTTGAGCAATAAATCGAACTACATACAGTACTGCAGGTAAACAGACTGAACTCAAAAATAAGCTTTTAACTCAGTGCATAAAATTAAAATATCCATTGAGCAATTAGAAAACATTGTAAACAATAAAATCAAACCCAACTGCAAACATTAAATTCAACGACCTCTTTGTTCCTGTTTCTCATTCATGATTTTGTAAAAATGTGGAACTTTCTTGCTGATTTGTTCTGCAAGTCTGCCTGTGGATTCAGGCGATACCTAGATTTTGTCTTGATTGACAAAAGAGAACTGAATCCAAATGCCAAAAAAAACCCCAAAAACAAAAATAACCCTAATAATTTTATTATTGGAATAATTTTTGGTAAAAAATGTGATTCACCAATTTTGGCAAATCGCAACACAGTCTTCCTCTTTGTTACACCCCCCTGAAATGCCATGTTGCACCCCCCCAGAGGTGCAGGCTCCTCAGAGGTGCAGGCACCCCTGCACTACAGGGTAAAACCAGAGATCCTGGTTACAATATTGTTTGAACTGCTACACACATTCAGGCAAATCCCTTGCAATCTTTGGGCCATTGTTCCCCCTGCTACCCTGCAAAATCTTTACAGCATTCATTGTCTCCTGCTACATGTCTCTAGGGACCTTAGAGAGACCTTAATCACAGCATAACCACAGAATGCACACAAGCTATATGCAGACTTTTATTAAAGAAAAAGAAAAACTAGATTAAAAAACAAAAGATAAACTTCCTTAGGGAAAGAACAAAAGTAGAAAAGAGCCATATGAGCAGATGAGGCTTGCAGCAACAGAGACACAATCCAAGTAGAAATGACATCGGTTTATTACAAACTGAAAAGTTAGGAATGTATTCTAAAGATGGATTGCTCCTGACCCCTGCCTCTAGTTCAAATAGATTTCCAGGAGGGGGTTCAAAAATGAATTCCAAACAGAAAGCAGAGCTGAGATAGGAAGCATGAATTTTGAAAGGAAGAGATCAAAGGCACACAGCTATGGGTCAAAAAGGCATCTCTTCCATCAGGTGAAGTAAGTTGCAACAATATGGTTGCAAGAAGTGAAAGATGTGGAAGGAAATGCTGATATGGGTGACTTAAGAAAACGAAGAGAAGCAAGGGATGTGCCTAGATCTGGGTGCAGTAGGTCAGCCAGCATAATTGGGGGCCCTTGTTTTACACTGCAATGTGTTTCCGCTGCCTTCTTTCTTCATTTATTTATTCTATAATCCACTGGCTTCCACTCCATCCAAACTGGTCATGTGAGTGCTTTTCTATGATAAAAACTTATAAGGTTTATTAGTCTGATTCAGTGGAAATTGTCTAACCTTTCTTCTCATAGAAGGGCCTTTATACACCCCCCCCCCGCAAAAAACAAACAAACCCCAATCAGTCCTCACAAAAAACAGAATTGGGGAACTGAGAGTGAACTAATTGGAGAGTTCCCATACTCTGGCCACTTTTCCCACAAGCAAAATGGGTCAATTGTGAACGGAGGTAAGTGACCATGGCCCAAGAGATGCTATTTTATGTTGCTACAAAAGTGGGTGGCTACTGGGATAGGTCAGAGGCTATATTTAAGGTATAAATAAATAAATATATTTAAGGTCACAGAGCTTGCCTGCAGGAATGAATGTTTAGTCAAATTTAAAGGGAATTACGAATTGCTACGTTGGGTGACATGGAATCGCAGCCACAGGAAATGGTAAGAGGCAGTGCTGTAGAGAAGAACGCGAGCCAGAAGGGGGTGGAGGACAGACTCACAACGCACTTAGAGGCGAGGTTACAAAGAAGGGGACACGGATCCCAGTTAAAAGACGCGAGAAAGTAGAAAGACAGCCTGGGAAGCACCCGATCCCGGATTCCAGCAAACAATCAGAGCAAATTACAGCCCGAAAAAAGCACAGCCAACACACACAAACTGCTGCATGCGCAAACCATATGTTACTAATCCGCCTTCCCGCTAGAGCCAATCCGCCGCCCCTACCTCTTCCACCATCTCTATTTCAGGCCTATTACAATCCCTGCAGGAATTATGGACTACGAGGCACAACTGCTTTCCCGCGGCCGTGACTCAACTCAAGACAAACGTGATCTTTCCAATATGCGGTTGCGAAGCTCGTAGCTCTAAGGATTCCAGGGGTACACGCGGCCTTCCCACCCCTCTAAGGACCCTTGCGGTCCCTTCCTCTTTCTTGCACAGCCATTCCTACCCTCGGCCTCGCCACCTCCCCCGACCCAATTCCCGCCCAACGGCCCCGGGAAGCCCAGAATCGTCCGCTAACCGCAGCTCGGGACAAGGGAGAAAGTATGCCGTGCTCCACACGCCCAGGGGCGGGGGGCTGCTGCAAAAACTCCTTACCGGGCTTGGCGATCGACGGGCCCTTTACAGAAGCACAGGCGAATCTCGTCTTGTTTGCATATTCATGACGTTCAAATGAAGGTCAGGCTCGCCACGCCCACTCCGATGCATATTCATAAAGGCGGAGGCGCCCAACCCCCACGTGTCATCTTCACGAGGCCAGCAGGGCCGGGCGGGCAACGAAATCTTCAGCCTGAATTTTAAGGACCTGCTCGCTCCCTCCGCCTTATTAAGGAAAGGGGGAAAAGGCTACGAGCACGGCGAGAGGAGGAGATGAAATGGGTGGAGGCGCCTCCTCTTTTCGTTCCTCTTCCTCGTGCAATCTGAAGCATTTCTGCTTTTATTTCTCCAGCCTAACATCACAAGCGGCTTAAATATGATTTTCATTTAGAGTGCGCACAGCAAAAATTCAATGCACGTTCCTACTGTCGAGCATGGTTAGAGGAGGGGCGCGTGATCCCAATTTCAAAGGAGCCCTTTGGATCACGCTTTCTACGCGCGCGCGCGGCCTCCCCGCCCCCGCCTTCGCTTACGCACAACTACCATCCTTGCAAGGGAGAGGCTGTTTCCAGCCTTCACCTTCCCCCCGCCCCCCCCAAGAGGCATCTCGACACTGGCTGGAAACCGCACCCATAATCGCAGCTTGGGCGGGGGGGGGGGTGCCGGGGACGGAGACGGGGACTGGGCGGGGCCTGGCGGCAGGCGATTTCATTAGGACTTTCCAGATCAACCGTTCCCAAGCCTGCCCCCGCCACATCGCTTATTTATTGTATTTACATCCTGCCTTTTTTTCCTTTCAAGGAACTCAAGGCAACTTACATAATTCTCTTCCCTCCTTCCTTGTTATTCTCGCAACCACCTTGCGAAGCAGGTTGGGCTGAGAGTCTGTGACTGGCCCAAAGTCACCCAGTGAGCTCCGTGGCTGAATGGGCTGGAATCCGGATCTCCAGAGTCCCAGTCCTGCACTCTTAAGCACCCCACCACCACACTGGAGAGGAGCTGGAGATTGGACAGCTACTCTGGAGAGCCTCACTGACCACTCTCCCATGGCATCTGGCATTTGCCACAGCAGGAGATCAGGGTCGAGAGGACTGTGGGGTACCCAGCACTCACAGGGGCCCTCCTGGTGTTGGAGAGTTTCCAGTTTACTGTGCCCCCTACTCTTCCCCCTGAGGCAGGGGATTCATTCTGCCTCATGCAAGGGCCAGTCCTGCATCTTAGGAATTTAGGAGCAGTTCTAAACCAAGGAATGGTGGTTTTGATGGGGGTGTGGAAAGGAGGTTCACAACCAAAGGCATCTGTAAGATCATGAAGTCCAGGGTGTAAAATTACCTAACTGAAGTACTGGTTCCCCTACGCATAATTCACAGCTACATCAATCTTTATCATATGATTTAAAAGCAGTTTGGGAACAAACAGATTAAGCAAATATAAGTAGCAAATTATTTTTCTTACCAGCCACTCCATTATATCAAGGTGATGATGTACTTAGGACTCCAGAATACATACTTTTACTAAACAAGTTCTAACAATTATTTTGGCCACTAGGTGGGGACTTAGCACAGGTAATAGAGGTCCTTGATTGCTGTAAGATAAGTAATTAGAAACCCTCACAGCTTTTGCTGGCAGGAGCCACATTCTCCTCCTCCTCCTCCTCCACCACCTCCACATACATCAGTAGTTGTGAAAGGACTTCTTTTTATGAGCCATATTTCTGAAAAAGATCCGTGCAGTGTTTGCAGATTCTAGATCACTACTGCTATTGCTACAAGGTTAAAGGATATGAAAAACAAGGGAAAATAAAAAAATATATTAACTAGGCAAGAAGAAGGGCAGAAGATTTTATGTCACCCAAAACTAGGCATCTTCCTTGAACAGAGCTGGTTCTGGTCCACAGTGATTTTTTTTCTGTACAAAATGGTTGAAAGGTCCATAGACCCATCAGCCACCTTATCTGAATTCAGAACAAGGGTAAGTCTATTTGCCGTAGTTTTTAGAAGGGGTCTCAAATGTTATGACCTGGCTGAAACAGACTGCTCATTACTCGCCAATACATACAAGTCCTGTGTTCTGCCTTTCTTTTCCCCCTCCCCTCAGACTTGTTCCTCATCTATGAGTAATCCTTATGGTGTTTCTGAGGGATGAATAAGGACTGAGAAACTTCCAACAGGAGTAATTCCAAGAAGAGCAGCTATGCCACGGCCAAAACAGAAAAGTCCCTCTAAAGGCAAATTT